GCAGTCCCAGCTTCTTGGGAGGCTGAGGTGGCAGAATCACTTAAGCCCAAGAGGTCAGGGCTGCAGTGAGCTGTGTTCGTGCTAGTGTACACCAGCCTAGGTGACAGAATGAAAAAAAAAAAAAAAAAAAAAAAAAAAAAGAAGAAGAAGAGAGAAATCTGAATAGACTCATAAGAAGAAATTGAATTAGTAATTAAAAACCTTCCCACAAAGAAAAGCCCAGACGGTTTCACCAAATTCACATACATTCTGTCAAATATTTAATATAAAACCAACTTTTCACAAACTCTTTCAGAAAACAGAGGAGAGAACACTTCCTAATTTACTCAGGAAGGCTGGTAGCACTCTCATAACTGAGACAGACAAAGATGCCACAAGGAAAGAACACTATACACCAATATCCCTTAGAAACACGGAGGAAAAATCCTTAATAGAACACTAGCAAACATATGTAAAAGGGATTATATACCACGATTAAGTGGAATTTATCACAGGAATGTGAAGTTGGTTTAACATCTGAAAATTAATAAATGTAGTGATATTAATAAAATAAGATGAAGGATGAAACCCACATAATAATCCCAACGGATGCAGAAAAAGCATCTGATAAACTCCAATCCCATTCATGCTAAAACCTCCAAACAAATTAGAAATAGAAGGGAACTTTCTCACTATGATAAAGGGCATCTTCATCCCTCAGGATGAAAGACTGAATGCTTTTTCTCCTCAGAAAAACAGAGGACAATTAATAAAATATAGCGATATTAATATAATATAATAAGACTGAAACTTTCTGTGGTTTCAGTAACCTGTGGTCAGTTGTGGTCTGCAAATATTACATATAATACAGTATTCTGAAAGAGAAACCATATTCACATAACTCTTATTACAATATATTGTTATATTGTTCTACTTTGCTATTATTGTCGTTAATCTCTTACTGTACCTGATTTATACATTTAACTTTGCCGTAGGCATGTATGTATATGAAGAAACAGTACACATAGCATTTGGTGTTATCCATGGTTTCAGGCACCTGTGGGGGGTCTTGGAAGGTAGCCCCTGTGAATTAGGAGGGACTATTATACTAAAACTAATCAAAGAAGTTTAGAAAGGTCATAGGATATAAGATCTATGTGCAAAATTCAATCCTTTTTTTACATTCAGTCAACCAACTGAAAATAAAATTCAGAAAACAATTTCATTCACAATGGCAGAAAAAAAAACCAAACTTACTTTGGAATAAATTTAACAAAGGAAGTGCAAGACTTGTACACCAACAACTATAAAGCATTGCTGAGAAAAAAGACCTAAATAAATGGAGAGACATTCTTTGCTCATGATTAGAAGAGTCACTATTGTCGAGGTGGCAATTTCCCCCATATTGATCCGTAAATTAAACATAATCCCTCTTACAATCCTAACAGGCTTTTCAAAGTTAGAAATTGACAAGTTGGCCTAGTGTGGTGCCTCACACCTGTAATCCCAACACTTTGGGAGGCCGAGGTGAGAGGATCTCTGGAGGCCAGGAGTTTGAGACCAGCCTGGGCCACAGAGTAAGACCCTGTGTCTACAAAAAAATTTCAAAAAACAAAATAATAAAAAAAGGCAAGCTGATCCTAAAGTTTATATACAATTTTCCATATAGTAGGAACCTAAAATGGCCAACAAAAACAAATTTGTTGTTTCTGAAAAAAACAACAAATTTGCAGCAATGACACTACTCAATTTGAAAATTTCCTCTAAGGTCATAGTAATCAAGGCTGTGGGTTACTGGCACAAGGATAAATGTAGGTGAAGGGGACAGAACTGAGTATCTGGAAATAAACCTTCACATTTATGATCAATTGATTTTTGACAAAAGTGTCATTGATAATTCAACAGGGAAAGACTGTGTTTTTAACAAAAAGTGCTGGGACAACTAGATATCTCTATGCAGAGCAAACAGGCTCTTCCCTCTCACCATCCACAAGAAACAAGTCTTGTGCACTCTTGTAACTCTTGCGTAATTAACTCAAATGGATCACAGACTCAAATGTAAGGGCTAAAACAACTCTTCTAAAAGAAAGTATACGAGGAAATATTCGTGATCTTGGATATAACCCCAAAGGCATGATCCACAAAAGGAAAAATTGATAAACTGAACTTCATCAGAATTAAAAGCTTTTGTGCTTTAAAAAACCCTGTTAAGAAAATAAAGGCTGGGCATGGTGGCTCACGCCTATAATCCCAGCAGTTTTGAGAGGCCGAGGCAGGTGAATCACTTGGGCCCAGGAGTTTAAGACCAGCCTGGGCAATATGGTGAAACCCTGTCTCTAACAAAAATACAAAAATTAGCCAGGTGTGGTGGTGTGTGCCTGTGTTCCCAGCTACTTGGGAGGCTGAGGTGAGAGGACTGCTTGGACCTGAGGTCGAGGCTGCAGTGAGCCATGATCGTGCCAGTGCACTCCAGCCTGGGTGACAGAGCGAGACGCTGTCTCAAAAAAAAAAAAAAAAAAAAAAAAAAGAAGGAAAGAAAAGATAAGCCATACATTCAGAAAAAATATTTGCAAATCATCTATCTGATAAAAACTGTATATATGGAATATATAAAGAAAACTTACCACTCAACAGTAAGACAAACAGCCCAAGTAGAAATTGGCAAAATATCTGAACAGATGTTTCACCGAAGAAAGTATTGGAATGACTAATATGCACATTAAAAAATGTTCAATATCAGTAGTCATTAGGGAAACACCAATTAAAACCACAATGAGATGCCATTATACCCTCTTTAGAATGACTATAATAAAAAAGACAACAACAAGTATTGGGAGGATGTGATGACACTAGAACCCTAGCACACGGCTGGTGAGAATGTAAAACAGGACAGGCAGTCTGGCAGTTTCATAAAATGTTAAACATAAGTTTACCACACAGTTTGTCAATTCAGTGTTGTATGAAAGGAGAGAAGGTTAGCACTCCCCTTGACAAGGATGGAAGAGGCCCTCGGGCCTGACAACAATTCGTCAATTCCACTCCTAAGAATTTACCCGAGAAATGAAAACAAACACAAAAAGGCATATACATGAATGTTCATAGCATTATTCATAATAATAAAAAACCAGAAACAATCTAAATCCATAAGGCCAGGGTGCAGTGGCTCACGCCTGTAATCCTGGCACTTTGGGAGGCTGAGGTGGGTGGATCACCTGAGGTCAGGAGTTTGAGACCAGCCTGGCCAATAAGGCGAAACCCCTCTCTACTAAAAATACAAAAATTAGCCAGGTGTGGTGGCGTGCACCTGTAATCCCAGCTACTTGGCAGGCTGAGGCAGAAGAATCGCTTGAACCTGGGAGGCAGAGGTTGCAGAGGCTCTGTCTCAAAAAAAAAAAAAAAAAAAAAAAAAAAAAAAAACCATCATTAACTGATGCATGGATAAACACGATGTAGTATATATCCATAAAATGAAAAACTACCCAGCAGTTAGAAGGAATATACTACTGATATGTGCATAGTAACATGGATTAATCTCAAAAACATGATTCTATGTGAAAGAAGTCAGATGCAACCAACTACATATTGTAGGAATCCATTTATATGACATGTCCAGAAAAAGCAATTTTTGGAAACAGAAAACAGATCAGTAGTTTCCTCAGACCAGGGGTGAGGGTGGAGGTGAACTGCTAACGGGCATGGAGGAAACTTTTTGGGGAATGAAAAGGTTCAAAAACTGGACTGCAATGATGGTTGTTGCATAGCTCCACAAGCGTATAAAGAATCGATGAGTTGTACATTTATAATGGCTCATTATTGTATGTAAATTATTCCTCAATAAAGCTGTTAAAAAGAGTCCTTATCTTTTTGGGATATATACAATTATTAACAGATGAAATGATGAGATGTCTGGGAACTGCTTCAGAATATGGGAGGCGGGTGGTGGGTGGGGCTACAGACGGAGGAAACTGGCTGCGAGCTGATCATCGCTGAAGCTGGCAGATTAATACATGGGGTTCATTATTCTATTCTGTTTAAATTTGTCTGTGTTTGAAATTTTCCATAACACAAGCATAGTGACCCAAAGGAGGGAAAAGAACCCTAAATGCCACAATTATGTGCATGTCTAATTTAAAATTTACTCTGAGGAGGCTTGTGAAATTTTTTCTTTAAAGACACGGACACAGAATCTCAATTCTGTTGGGATTTTAAAGCAGTGGATACAATAGCAAAGACCTGGAATCAACCCAAATGTCCATCAATGGTAGACTGGACGAAGAAAATGCAGTATATGTACACCACGGAATACTATGCAGCCATAAAAAGGAAAAAGACCATGTCTTTTGTGGGGATATGGATGGAGCTGGAAGCTGTTATCCTCAGCAAACTAATTCAGGGACACAAAACCAAACACTGCATGTGCTCATTTGTAAGTGGGAGCTGAATGATGAGAACACATGGGCACACTGGGTGGGGAACAACACACACTGGGGCCTGCTGGAGGGTGGTGAGGGGGAGGGAGAGCATGAGGAACAACAGCTAATGGGTGCTGGGCTTAATACATGGGTGATGGTTTTTTTTTTTTGTTTTTTTGTTTTTTGAGACAGAGTCTCGCTCTGTCACCCAGGCTGGAGTGCAGTGGTGTGATCTTGGCTCACTGCAAGCTGCGCCTCCCAGGTTCAGGCCACTCTCCTGCCTCAGCCTCCCAAGTAGCTGGGACTACAGGTGCCCACCACCAAGCCCAACTAATTTTTTCGTATTTTTAGTAGAGACAGGGTTTCACCATGTTAGCCAGGATGGTCTTGATCTTCTAACCTTGTCATCCGCCCGCCTCAGCCTCCCAAAGTGCTGGGATTACAGGCGTGTGCTACTGCGCCCAGCCAGGTGATGGGTTGATCTGTGCATTAAACCACCATGGCACACGTTTGCCTATGTAACAAACCAGCACATCCTGCACGTGGACTCCAGAACTTAAAATAAAAGTTGATTAAAAAAATGAAGTAGTGAATGGTTTGGAGTCTAACCTGGTGAGTATCGCATTACAGAGAGCTGTTCATTTCCATCTGTGTGAACGGTGACCAAGTCTTTTGTTTCTGTGTCAAACACAAACCACCTGTTGTCAACATGAGAAAAAGCACAGTAAGTTGTTTAGTGAGAAAATGAAGATTATTATAATAGTGGGATGAATAAAAATTATTAATTATAAAAGCTTAATAAATACTTGAAATTTGCTTAATAAGAAAGCTTGTTCCCAGCTTTTATTCAAAGAAAATTTCCTATAAAAGCATTTTCTAATGAAAGGAACAGTATATTGGCTAGCATTCAAAACTATGCCGTTATCAACACTATGATATGGTTTCTCTGTGTTTGTGCTTTGTCATTTACACATGGAGAGAAAGCTCTGGGCAGGGAAGATGCCAATACCTAGGACCAGGGCATATGGTGAGAGGAAGCAGCGAAGGGCCACCTGCAAGAGCTCACCCAGGTTTCCAGGGCGAAGCAGGACCATGCAGGAGGACGGGGCTGGGACAGCTCCGGGGTGGTGGTGTTCCCAGTGGTGCTGCAGACAGAGCAGGCTGAGAGTACAGGCCTTAGGGGGATGCTAGCCTGCAACCAACAGGGCGAAGGAAAGCACAGAGCAAATGGGAGAAATCGGAGTGGAGGACTGGTCTTATAATTTCACCTTGCTGGGCCATTTCCTCAGTGGTGAGATGGCGAGAAGAGCCCAGGTCTACTTTGCAGGCTCAATATGAAAGTCGAATGATAATGGACATGGAAGTGCTTTGTATCCTCTGATAAGCACACAGTACCCATTAAACGTGTGTTAACATCAGAATGACTGAACTCTCCTGCCTGTTATATTCTTGGGGGGTGGTGGTGAGCCCCTGGTGTTTTAAGGATCAATGGAATGCGGGCTCCCTGCTGCTGCAGTTTCAAAGCTGCATCAGCATGTCCACTGCATGCTGAGGACAGCCCATCAGCATGTCCACTGCAGAGTGAGTGTCCCTTGTCTTCCACAGGAGCCCCCAGCCATGCATTGTCAGAGGTCCTGCCCCCCAGAAATGTGGATTTTGCTTCTCAGGGCCGATTTCTTGCATCTTCAACAACCATTTACCTTTAATGTGCTATTTAACCTTAATGGAGGCTGGGGCTGATTAGAACATGGTTTTGAAGTGTCCTGTTAAATCAACAGCATTGGGAGATAAGCCCAACCTAGGACCTGAATGGCAAGAGGCATAATAGATGAGGGGCTGGATTAGGTGACCCGACCCATCTCCTCCACCATGGGACACTGTGATTCTGAGCACTGTCACCGTGTCCTACACACACAGTAGGTATGCTGGCATCTGTCAGCCTACTAGGAGACCAGTCATCAGAAGGTGGGAGCCTGATGAGTTAGAAGCTTCAGCTTTCTCAAAGGGAGTCAAATGGGAGGTGGTATGTGTGTGTGTTTGTGTGTGAGGATACACAAATGTTTTCATGAAGAATTCTGTTGGATATGTGGAGCCCAATACTTAAGATATTGCTGCCTATGACCTACAAAGGGCTACCCTTTCTTTACCCACACAGGCTGTGCAGTCATAACAACAGAATCTAAGTGCTACACTTTTTAGAGAGGAAGGGTGGGAGGAAAAATATTTGACTGAAACCACAGTAAACGTATGCAGTACGACGACCAGCATAAAGGTTCAATGAAAACCCGGAAAACAATGACAACAATAACCCCTGCAGTGCCTAACAGGCAGCCCCGGCAGATGCTCTGCGCGCTGTCTCCTTCGATCCTCAGTGCGACACGGCCAGGCAGGGAATATCACCATTTACAGAAAAAGAAACAAATTTGGAGAGCTTATGTAACTGGCTCAAAGACACTGCTGCTGAGTGGCAAAGCTGAGCTGCAAACGCAGATTCACCATCCTGCATGTAGGAGGTGCCAGGTGAATAGGTATTAACTCAATTGGAATATGAGGCTCAGGGTCTGGGCGGTTCCTAAAATTTTGAAAGGGAAGCTAGAAAAAGCATTTATTTTCTATTTTTAATTTTTTTTTAAGAGATGAGGTCTCACTCTGTGGCCTAGGTGAGGGTACAGCGGTGCAATCAAATGCAGCCTCAAACTCCTGATCTTAAGAGATCCTCCTGCCTTAGCCTCCTGAGTAGCTAATACAGGTGTGGATCACCACACCCAGCTCAATTTTAAATGTTTTCTAGAGATAGGGTCTCGCTATGTTGCCCAGGTTGGTCTCAAACTCTTAGCCTCACAGGATCTTCCTGCCTAGGCCTCTCAAAGGATTGGGATTACAGGTGTGAGCCACCGTGCCCAGGAGTAGAAAAAGCATTTTTAAACACTCAGCACTTTGAAATGTTTTCTTGCTTCATTCCAAAATCAAGCCTCCTCCCACAGACTAAAGATCAGGGCTTGAGAAGCTCCACAAATCCTCTGACACTGTAGGCAAAATGTGTGTGTGGCTGGGTGTGGTGGCTCATGCCACCACAATCTCAGCACTTTGGGAGACTGAGGTGGGAGGACTATTTGAGCTAGAGTTCAAGACCAGCTTGGGCAACACAGTGAGACCTGCATCTCTACAAAAGACAAAACATTAGTTAAGCATGGCAGTGCACATCTGTAGTCCCAGCTACTTGGGAGGCTGAGGTGGGAGGATCACTTGAGCCCTGGAGGCTGCAGTAAGCTGTGATTGTGCCACTGCACTCCAGTCTGGGTGAAAGGGTGAGACCTGTCTCAAAAAACAAACAAGAAAAGTGTGTGTGTGTCTAGTGGAGGTAGAGGGTCCTTTTCCAGGAGAGAGGGTCTACAGCTTTCCTCAGATTTCCCCAAGGCTCAAAATGTAATGGGCCATTGTTTCAAGTTTCTTTTAACTTAATTCTTGGTAAGTCATTAGAAGCTGCGAGCACGCAGCCAAGAGCTGAACAGGGCCTGTTCCTGGGGAAATAGAAGCAACAGGCCTCTTTTCCATAAGCTTTGCAAGCACAAGCCCTGCTGGCATGGACTTACCTCCCAGTGAGTGTTCCGACTGCAACCACAGACCCTGAAGGATGAAAACCAGAAGACTGAGCTGGATCCTAAAATATTTTAAAGGAAGTGTAAATTGATGAACAGATAGAACACTATAGCATAAAACACACACACACACGTGCGCATGTGCACACACACGCTCACACTTCTAATTCCTTAGGGCTATATGGCTCTATCTGAAAAGTCTCTTTTCTAGAGAAAAATGTTTTACTACTTGAATGAATGCCGCATTTCAATAATGATAAATTTCTTCCCACCCCCACCCTTTTTTGAGGCAGGATCTCACTCTATCACACAGGCTGGAGTGCAATGGCATGATCATGGCTTATTGCAGCCTTGACCTCCCAGGCACAAGTGATGCTACTGGCTCAGCTTCTGAAGTAGCTGGGACTACAGGTGTGTGCCACCACGCCTGGCTAATTTTTTTATTTTTTATTTTGTAGAGATGGAGGCTCCTATGCTGCCCAGGCTGGTCTCAAACTCCTGGGCTCAAGTGATCCTCCTGCCTCTGCCTCCCAAAGTGCTGGGATTATAGGTGTAAGCTATTGAGCCTGATCTAAATTTCTATCGTTTTAGGATTTTCCCCTTTTTGTCTTATATCCTTTCATATCTACAGTAATCTGATGAAAGACAGGTAAATGCCCTTCTACAACGTCAGTTTATAGAACCAAGCCCCTTCAGTTGACTCCCTGTGCTGAGTGGTAAGCTCATCGAATAGTGCGCTTGATTGGTCTGGAAAGACAACCACGGCACCCAACTCTATGACACAGAGACTGGGTGAGTGTCCACTGGGTGCAAAACACTACGGAGGCCTGGAAGGATCACGAGATGAGCGAGGCATATTCTAGGTTTTGATCCAGGGGAACACACTCACAGTCACCACTAACTCGGATACAAGATGGAATGATCCATGAAAGAGATACAAATCAAGGTGCTGTGGAATCACAGGGGAGGGAGGGATGAGGTGACACTGGGAAGCTGGGCCAAGGCTTCGCGGTGCAGATAACTGGACTTGGGCCTCCCAGGAGAGGAAGAATTACCACTGGTGAAGGTGAGATGTGGCCACTCCAGTCGTTTTTTGGACCACGGTGAAGGGGGCAACTATGTAATAAAAGCAATGGAAGCAACACAGTTCTGGGCATATTTGAGGAAAGGCAGGTAGGTCAATGGGCTTACAGCACAGAGTATATGACACTAGTGATGCCACTGCCACGGTAAGGACTTGGATCACTAGGAAGAACACTTTGAATGGTCTTGTCCTTTCAATAAAAAGAGTGACACGATTGCATGTGTGTTTTAGATAGAAGGGCACTTGGCAGCAGTGTTTAGGATGAAGAGAGAAGAGATTAAGGAAATCGGGAAGAAAAGTAGCAATGGTAATGAAAATAGGAGGCCCTGAGATCCACCAGATAATCTAAAAAACCAAGAGAAAGAAACTTAATATATGATTACATTATTTCAATGCTTTCTTTCTATAGTAGGAGCTGTAGTTAAGCTCAGAGCCGCCACTAATATACAAATAGAAATCATGTTCACTCGAAGTTCTACCATTTACAAAGCACTTCTGTCTGTGTCATTCATTTGGGCCTCGTAACAATTTTGAGATGTGGACATTGAGTTACAGATGTCCAAGTCACAAGACCAGTAGGCAGAGGAGCTAGAACTTCATTGCAGTTCTCTGGCTTCCAGTTTGGAGCTCTGACCCTTATGTTAGGCTAAATGATTAACAACCTGGTAAAGGAGCCGTCATTGCCTTCAGCCCTCCTGGACCACCAGGGCATAGATAGAACATATAACACTGTTTCCTTTAGCCTCTTACTGCCATCACGGGTCACATCTGCTTTCTGAGTGGCAGTGCCTGCCCCTTGGGCCCCTCCACCTCACGGCTCAGCTGGCCACCAGTGACCAGCACCCCTTCCATGAAAATGAAGGGAAGGGAGCTGAAACTTGGACCTAGCACCTGGGACATGCCAGTAACTCCATGGGGGATGAAAGGATGATGTGTTGGTTTACAGAAGGGTTATTTCCTCTGTGCAATGGGATTGCACAGATCATTAGGGCACCGGCAACAGAGACCGAGCTTCTGATTCGCTACAGTGTAATGCAGTGGAAAGAACCAGAGTTTAGGAGTCAGACTGAGCTGGGTCCTAACACTGACTAGGTCACTCACTAACTTAGTGACCTTGGCAAGTTATTTAACTTCTCTACACCTCAATTTCCTAATCAATAAAACCAGAGTTAAAAAACCTTCTTCAACCTGCAGAGCTGCTACAGGGATTAACGAAAATACACACACGGTGCTTGGCATGCAAATAGTCAGTGCTCAAGTAATACATGTGGGGAAAGGGCATTTCAATATTCTGACAGGTCATCAGAGTTTCTTTTGCCAAATTCACAGAGATGTTGACTTTTTTTTTTTTTTTTTTGAGATAGAGTTTCGCTGTTGTTGTCCAGGCTGGAGTGCAATGGTGCGATCTCAGCTCACTGCAACCTCCACCTCCCGGGTTCAAGCGATTCTCCTGCCTCAGCCTCCCAAGTAGCTGGGGCTACAGGCATGCAGCACCATGCCCGGCTAATTTTGTATTTTTAGTAGAGACGGGGTTTCTCCATGTTGGTCAGGCTGGTCTCGAGCTCCCAACCTCAGGTGATCCGCCTGCCTTGGCCTCCCAAAGTGCTGGGATTATAGGCGTGAGCCACCGTGCCCAGCTGACTTTCAAATGAAAGTTCACTTTACCATCAAACTCAAAATGTAGAGATATATTCAATCGTGTGTTTAGTACAGCTTGTAAATTCCCATTCAGAGGGTACACTGTAAATGGAATGCAGGCTCATAACAAGGATTTTTTAGCTCTTAAGATGGCTGAGAGTTTGTACTCGGAAAATCTGACAATGAACTTGGACAGAACAATTTGCTGTCAGAAAATTTCAACAGTAAACTTCAAAATTACATGCCTGAGGCCACTTGAGGCAATGTTAAAAGTAACACTGTTAAATGCAATTGCAATGTTAAGGCAACTCTAAATAGATACATAACATCTGCTTTGGGACAACTTTATATCACTGTTGATTTCATGCAAAAAATAAACATGTTCCAGATGAATTTCTGTAAGAAAAATGGAAATGTAATGTGCATGTTTACCTCTATTATTTTGTCCCAGACGGGACGGTGACCCACAGCATCCCAGAGAGTGGCATGCTTGTCATGCCCACAGGTCAAGAACTGAGGTTTTGAGGCATGGATGGCCAGTCCCCAGAGCTCATCAGTGTGACCCTACAAAGAACCAAGACAAACAGAAGCTCTCTGAGATACTACAGTCCGCCCTCAGGAGCCGGAAGTGATGATAAACCGAGGCTTCAGGCTGACTTCATAATTGCTCTCAACAGTTTCTTTTCTCCCATCGCCGGCAGCCACTGACACTCTGGCGTGGAGGAAGGTTATTGTAGTATAAAGCACAGAAACGAGCAACTATTTGTAATGCTTGATTAGAGTCTGATATAATGCAAAGTAAGAGTGTTTGCTGGGCCTGCTGAGCGGGATCGTACCTGAGTAATGGGTGTGAAGTCCCCTGACAGAGTGCCCTGCAGGACAAAGTTTCGAGTTGTGCCAATCAGGATCACATCGCCTTTCCCCTCGGCCACTGTACGTATTGGACCAAACTGTTCTGGAATCTGCATTGAAAAGTCGTATGAAAAGAAAAGATGTACAATTTCATTCAGTTGTTAGCTCGGTCATTCAAAACACTTATTTATCATAATGATAGTCCCTATAACAGTTTTATATACACATATGTATATACATATAATGTACATTCAAATATATATGTTGTATACACATATATACGGAGAGTTTCACATAGATACCACAGCTGGCCAGGCATGGTGGCTCACGCCTGTAATCCAGCATGTTGGGAGGCCGAGGCAGGTGGATCACCTGAAGTCAGGAGTTGGAGACCAGCCTGGCCAACATGCTGAAACCCGTCTCTAGTAAAAATACAAAAATTAGCTGGGCGTGGCGATGGGTGGCTGTAATCCCAGCTCCTTGGGAGGCTGAGGCAGGAGAATTACTTGAACCCAGGAGGTGGAAGTTGCAGTGAGCTGAGATGACGCCACTACACTCCAGCCTGGGTGACAAGAGAGAAACTCCATCTCAAAAAAACAGATACCACAGCCAACTGTTGAGTGAGTGATTAAATCCCTAAGCCTTACTTTTAAACTACAAACATTTTACATATCTATATATATCTTAGAAGCATCAGCAAGAACAAGGTTAAGAAAAAGCATTTTCCTCAACAAAATTTAAAAATAAGGAATGCTACTGGTAAGTTTTCTCTTTACTTTTTATAATTTCTGATAGCAACAGTAGATACAATTCAGAAAGTAAAGAATAATATAGGCCAGGTGTGGTAGCTCACAACTGTAATCCCAGCACTTTGGGGGGCTGAGGTGGGGGGAAATGCTTGAGCCCTGGAGTTCCAGACCAGCCTGGGCAATATAGCGAGACTCCATTTCTACAAAAAATACAAAACAAATTAGCTGGGTATGGTGGTGCGTGTAGTCCCAGTTACTCAGGAGGCTAAAGTGGGAGAATCACTTGAGCCTGGGAGGCAGAGGCTGAAGATCACGCCATTGCACTCCAGCCTGGGTAACACAGCTAGACTCTGTCTCAAAATAATAATAATAATAATAATAATAATAATAATAATAATAATAATGATGTAACACTGCCATAACACAATTTAAAATGGTAAATTCTTTGGCAGTGTCACTCTGTTCAGTTTAAGGATCAACATAAACATATGGAATAATCTAAATGTTAACAGAAAGAATTGCAAAACACATGCATTAAGAACAATCTGCTATGACAAAGAAACAAAGTTCTTGTACTATAAAAAGAACAAACGCTGCAGCTTGACCCTGGCAGGTTGCTGTTAGGCTTTCCCGTTCCAGGATAGAAGCAGCCTCCCCTCACACATTCTCCAGTGTGGTTTGTTAGCACAGATTTGAGTCAAGTTCATGATGACCCACGCTAATGAGGAGGAACCAGATACTAACAAACAGTGAATAGCTTTAATGAAATTAAATGGGGCTTTGGAGCTTTCTTTACAGTTGTATACGACATGGACATGTCTATGACTCTAGCAATTCACAATATATTCAACCAAATGCTGGTCAAATCTTATTAATAAAAATGTTCTCACAACAGAATCTCCATGCAAGGGGAAGTGATTTCCAAAGCTCAGATGAAGAACTTCCTTTATTAAGAGAAATAATCAACAGAACTAAATTTTCACACCGCCAGAGGGTGGTGCCATATTTCTCTGTGATGTAAAATATAAGTGTTTTGTGTGTATCTGGGTTCAAAGTCCTACAAGCTGTCCATTCTAAGCTAGGGATGAAAAGCATCACTCTTCAGAATGAGGCCAATTTTGCGGTGTCTGCTCACAATTTCCTGGAACCTGGGGGAGAAAATTCATTGAGTGGGTAGAAGGAAAATTAAATATCTTGCCTCCGGTGCCTACTGGAATGCAGGGCTGCCAAGTAGATAATGGGGAGGTACACTGGGTATCAAAAGGAGTCACAGCCCTAGGGAGCACGCTGGCACTTAGGTGAGTGCCATGTACAAAGTAGATACTCAATAAATACTAGTTCACTCAATGCAATAATGTCTCCAAAATAACATGCTAGAAATTAAAAGTTAAAGGAGGCTGGGCGTGGTGGCTCACGCTTGTAAGCCAGCACTTTGGGAGGCTGAGGTGGGAGGATCGCTTGAGCTCAGGAGTTCCAAACTAGCCTGGGCAACATCTCTACAAAATTACAAAAATTAGCCAGGTGTGGTGGTGTGTATCTGTAGTTCCAGCTGCTTGGGAGGCTGAGGTGGAGGATCGCTTGAGCCCAGGAGGCAGAAGTTGCAGTAAACTGTGATCACACCACTGCACTCCAGCCTGGGTGACAGAGCCAGACCCTGCCATCAAAAAAAAAAAAAAAAAAAAAAAAAAGAGAAAGAAGACAGATTTTTATAATAAAGCAAAATGTGGGTAACAGTCCCTTGGAAAATTGAGAATAAAAATATTCTAAATATGAAGTGTGTTATAACCTCAACTTTATAAACCTAATTCCATTTTATTAGTTATATTACATTGCTCCCATATCATCTAATTGTTAGATTTCATCTAAACAATTTTCAAAACTGTAAGCTACAGATTTCAAACTAATAAAGGATAATAGTTTAGGTTAAAAACAAATTTTAGCAGTAGCCTTGATGACTTACCTCTGTTTTACGAAGTTTTTGATAGTTCCCGCTCCAAGAAATGAGCTTTCGGTCTTTCCCACCTCCCGACACCAGTGTGCCATCTCTTAACATACAAAGTGCAAAAATGCCACCCTCATGGGCCCCTTGAACTGCATAGCTTATTCGATTTGTACCTAAACACACCAAGAAAACCATCATTAGCACATTGTCAAAAGGCTGCCTCCGCCCATTTTCTAATCTCATCTGACTTTGGTTTTAAAAGGCAATATTGTCTGTGAGCACATCATTGCAATATGAATCTATGAAGGATCCAATTTCTAGACATTCGCAGAGCACCAGACAAGTATGAAATGCATTACTTTAGAATGAAGGAAAATATGCATTGTTGAATATGCATTCTCATGGCTGAGAATGTGGGCTCTGAGTTCATCCCAGCTCTCTAGTGAGCTGTTTCTCTGGACAAATTGCTTAGTTACTCTACCCTCAGATCCCCCTTGGTGGAATGGGGCTGCTGCTTACCCTGCAGGATTGTTCTAAGGATTAAGTGAACAGTGGATAAGACACCTAGCGCCAAGAGCAGCAGGGATACTGGAAACATCACCATATGCTTCTGAAATTGCATTTACAAGTCCGCCTCCACCTTCAGCCCCAACTCAAAGATCCTTGAGAAAAGGGATGGTGGATTTTCCCTTTTTTCCTGTCACAGGGTAAGTGCTCATAAATGCTCACTGGACATAACTGGACACATGCTTTCTGAGTGATGCATCTCCCTTAGCAAACTTTGCTCAAGGACAGCAGGGGATTTGGGTCTGACTTAGTTGTATGTTCACAGTTAGCACATAATTAGCTTTCAATAAATGTCTGCCAAATGCTATATAAATCAGGATAATTACTTAAATATTTTACAGAACTGTAAGTAGTCATTAATTTCATCATTATAATCTGTCAGTGGATTTCCTAATAAAGCTATTTAATTCCATCATAATAGCTTGGGCTTAAAGAGCCTTTCAGAATGCTATAAAGGTCAGTAACTCTTACTATTCTCTGCTTTTTCTCTGTTCTAGTTCTATGGTTTCAAGTTACACATGCACACATGTATGTGTGTGTCTCTGTAACTTGAAATTGAATCCTACTCCTGTACATTGTATTAATAGACAATTCTTAAAGCACTCATGTTTGATCTCTTACAACATTACCAAAAACTATTGGTTTTTGGGAACTATCACTTATTACCTTTTCCCCATACTAAGATGTTGCCACTCGAATCTCCAGTAATGGTGTCACCATTTTCAGAGAAAGTCACACAGAGGACAAACTTTGGCTTTTCTTGTTTCTGTAGAATGTGGCAAAAAAATTATATATATATATATATATTTAATCCATACAACATATATATATTCCAGACAACCTTTCATTTGTACTAATAACATCTAGATTCGCAGTGGTCCCAAGCTGGACAGTGTCACCTTCTATAACCACTGTGCACACCTTGCATTTCTGTCAGTGAGATTAGCTGCTCTAAGACAAAGTGATTTCTAGCAACTCCAAGTGGCTGCGGAATCATAAACCTGCAGATAGCAAATGGAGGAGGGTACTGGCCAGGGAGAAGGGTGGGGCTATGCTGTCAGCCTAAAGGGCAGGGCCCGAGCACCAGAATAAAGGGGTCCTCGAAACGAGCTTCAAGGAGGTGGTGGCAGATGGACCCCTGGGAAGAGGTGCTGCCCCCTAGTGCTCTCGCAGCCCCACAACGTCCAGACAAAAGGCACAGGAAGTCTCTATCATCCTTTGCAAAGGCAGGTTGCCTGCCTCCTGATGACTTCATCGCCCGAAACTCTCTGCAACCAGTGCCACTGTGGGAGGCTTGGTGCTTCCCAGGTCCAGGTCCTTCCCTGCCCTCCACCTAGGCTTGCCCTGTCTTTTTCTTCACTTCATTACCAGTGTTACTTACCAGGTGTGACGCGCTCCCCAACTATGTGAGGGATCCCAAGGGATCGTGTTGAGCACCACAGCCCCCAGAAAGATGCATCTAGCCAATCACAAATACCAGAGAAAAATAAAACAAAAATCATAATTTAACTTTACCTCGAATAATCCTTGCTTCTTATTAAGGGAGCTTCCTTCTAGTGTCCAAAAGTAGAGATGTGATTTTCCACAGGTAACTATGATGTTGGTGTCCGTGGGGTGGAAATCCGCAGCAAACACAGCTTCATTAGAGCACTATAGGAAAAACAGGGACTCGGATGCCTCACATCTCTTAAAACACGTAAGACACATGTAGGAAAACAAGTAAAATCTGAGCCACAAATAAATAAGAAATTCTAGGCAAGCACAACGCCTATGATTTCCCCCACTGAATCCATCTTGCTATAAACACCAAGCGTATGCTGGTGCGGGCCTTAATGCCTCCTCCTTGTCGTCTCCCCCACTTGACAATGAGTCCTTGAGGACAGGAAGCACCCAGGAGTCCTCTGTCTATGCCAGAGCCTCCCCCAGGGCCAGGCATGGAGCGGGCATGCAGCATGCTTTGCTGAGGAGGGAGTTAGGACCAGAGGGACTTCAGAACTGCAAGCGTTTGCTCTCATCTGCTAGTCATGGGTTCCCAGTCTGGCTGATCAAATGGAATCACCAGAAATGGTAAAATGCAGATCTCTAGGCTTCGCCCCCTATCTAGTAAATGTAATCTCCAGGGAGGGCCCTGGAATGGATTTTACAAAGGTCCATTGTTCCTGGCTGACTCTGGCTGCCTGTTTCCCCAGGGAGTCTCTCCTGCGTCTGACTCCTGGGACTCTGCCTGTGGCTCAGGGACCTGGCCTGGGGTCCCATGGAGTAGATCTAGCTCTTCGGGTGTCACCTCCACCACCCTCAGCCCACATCCTAACTTCCAAGACCCGCACCTTGGCCTGTTGGATTGGGCTCTGATCACTGCTTCTATTTAATAATGCAGTTACACATTCTTGAGCCTGGATAATAACCTACCTCTGATGCCTTCTAACCTAGCAACATAGCAAGAAGAACTTAAACACCTGCCTAGAATATCAGAAGGTGGGGCTAGGGCATGAACACAGGTGTCAGGGAAGAGGCCTGGTCAGAATATAAGGTCTGCCTCCCAGACACGTGGGAGAGAAAGTTAGGTGAGTAAGGTTATCTAAGGTTGTTAGATGCAAAGATGAGAAATCTGAATTCAATTCTATAAAAATAGGGATCCAATAGAAAATAGAAGTAGAAAAAGGTCAGAAAGTCAAGGCAAGGGAATTTGACATATTGTACAAAATGGATTAGAGGCAGTCAAAGAAGTCCCAAAGGGCCCCTCTCAGGAGGAATCCTGTTGGGAAGGATTTGGGGTTTAGCTCGGGGCTCCTGCTGGTCTTTCCTGAGTCTGTTCCACTTTGGAGGTGCCCCTGTGCTGGTGGCCCCCGCCCACACCCACCCTTCCCGCAGCTGCAGGGGCCTGGGCAGCGAGTGCACCTTTACACCTGAGCGCATTTCCGGGCCTCCACGCGCCGTGCGAGCACACGGCAGGCGCTCGGGGTGTGTCAAGCAAATGAAAGAAATAGCCAGCAAATACATGACTGGATGAATTAAAAGGGTAGTGGCTATGAAATGAGGAAGAGAACAATCTTACAGACATGGTGAAAAAAGGAAAAACCCTAACAGGACCTGGGGTCAAAGTCTCATGATGGGAGAGGAACTGGGGACAAAGGATTCTAAGGCGAAGGCATCATACCCAAGGGCTGGGGCAGGAATGGGCCCTGGAGCCCGCTGAAAGGGGGCTACCACTGTGCCAGGGCGGCTCGGAATGGGAAAACATTAATGCAGCCCAAAAAAGGCTTGGAGTATGACCTTCACATCCGCCAGTTTTTCTTCTTTCTGCCAGTCCCATACAGAGAGCACATGGTCGTTGGAGTCATCCACAGCACAGAGATTGGTTCCTCCATTCTGAAAAGAAAGTTATTCACAGGAAGACTATATCTGAGAATAAAGTGGGTTGAATATGATTAAAAATAAACATCAAATTTTATTTTTAATAAAGAGTCTGCTACCTTGTAGTTAAAGAACACTCATCCATTGCTTCTGAGACCTGCTTTCTTTCTCTCTCCCTTCCTTTCTTCCTTCCTCCCTCCCTCCCTCCCTTCTTCCCTCTCTCTCTCTCTCTCTCTTTCTCTTTCTTTCTTCTCTCTCTCTCTCTGTCTTTCTTTTTCTGGAGAGAGTATTTTGCTCTGTCACCCAGGTCAGAGTGCAGTGGTGCAATCATGGCTCTCTGCACCCTTGACCTCCCAGGCTCAAGCAATCCTCCTACCCCAGCCTCCCATGTAGCTGGGACCGTGGTGTGTACCAGCACTCCCAGATAATTATTATTATTATTATTTGTAGAGATGGGATCTCCCTATGTTGCCCAGGCTGGTCACAAACTCCTGGGCTCAAGCAATCCTACTACTTCAGACTCCTAAAGTGTTGGCCACTGTGCCTGACCAAGCCACTGTGCCCAGCCAAGACATGCTTTCTTGACCAGACAGAAAGAGCAGGTAAATGATGGGGAGTGAAGAAACAGGAGTTGGGGAAGAGAGGGGCCAGGGGGGTGTCTCTTCACCACTGGGTTGCATGAAAACAAGAGACCCTCCTAGAGCAGACAGTGCCCGCAGCAGGCATGGCACAGGGGCTGTTAGCAGCAGGCGTGGCACAGGGGCTGTTAGCAGCTGTGAACGTGGCTGCTGCAGGGCTGCACAAGGCCTCGGCTCTGGAAGCCTGAGTACACGGGGGTCTTTTCATGTGAGCACGTGTACATGCATGTGAATACGGGTTTCTGAAGTGGTTGAAGTGGTTTAAAAGAGTGTGGGGTGGGTCTGCTGAACCAGCATGTCCTAAGGAAGCCTGGAAGACCACAAGGCCCTGTCCAATCCCTGCTTGAGGCCAGGCTGCCTGCCAGCCACGTTGGGCTTGACAGAGGCGTTTGAACCAGAGCAAGTCTATTTTTAATGGGGGCTGGGTAAAATGAGGCTGAGACCTACTGGGCTGCATTCCCAGGTGGTTAGGCATTCTAGGTCACAGAATGAGACAGGAGGTTGGCACAAGACACAGGTTATAAAGACCTTGCTGATAAAACAGCTTGCAATAAAGAAGCCGGCTAAATCCCACCAAAACCAAGATGGCAACAAGAGTGACCTCTGGTCGTCCTCACTGCTACACTCCCACCAGCACCATGACAGTTTATAAATGTCATGGTAACGTCAGGAAGTTAACCTACATGCTCTAAAAAGGGGAGGCATCAATAATCCATCCCTCGTTTAGCACATCATCAAGAAATAACCATGAAACGGGCAACCAGCAGCCCTTGGGGCTGCTCTGTCTATGGAGTAGCCATTCCTTTATTCCTTTACTTTCCTAAAAATCTTGCTTTCACTTTATGGAATTGCCTAGAATTCTTTCTTGCGTGAGATCCAAGAACTCTCTTTTGGGGTCTGGATGGGGACCCCTTTATGGTCACATCTTTCTGGTGACCATGAAGTGACGACACTGAGGAAACTCCCAACCCAAAGGCTGACTTTGGGCAAGTGGTGGGGTCTGGTGACATCTTTCTGGAGACCACGGAAGGGACAATACTGAGGAAACCTCCGATCCAAAGGCTAACTTTAGTAAGTGGTGGGGTCTGGTAATATCTTTCTGGTGAACCCCAAAGGGATGACACTGAAGAGACCCCCGACGCAAAGAAAAATAATCTGTACACACCGAATGGCTGATTTTGGGTAAGTGGGGTGCATATACCTGGGCAAAGGACGGGATTTGGTTAGAGGCCCAACTTAGGAGTCTCTCCTAAGACAGAGTGAGTTAAATGCCCCTATTAATAAAAGGCAAGGACGCTTGATAGACCTTGGGTTCCAGGCCCAATTTAGGAAGGTTAGATTCCTTCCTAAGATTTAGGGGGTGAGAGGCCCCCCTCAGTAAAGCCCCTTTCAGCTAAGAACAGGTTTGGCACTATGGGATGTTAACTGCTATTATCTTTGGATTAATCTGCCTTGCACTCTTTGCTGATGTCTAGAGTGACAGAATTAGGCATGTACAAGATCATGGGACATGGGGAGCTTTTTCCTCCCCAAAAGGGGAAATTTAAGAGCTGATGGGAATGCTGGAAAAGATCCCTTTGTTATCAACAAGCAGCCACCTGAACTTTTCAGTGTCGCTGCAGTGGGCAGGTCTTTCTCTGGCCTCCCTGAGCTCTTCGCCTTCCCCGCCCTGCCACAGGCAATGCTTTTTTCTCTCTCCTTTCCCTTTCTTATGTTTTCTATTACTCAGGGCCACCATCTTGCCCAGAGACCATAAGTTGAAACTCCTGGTTGGAGGCTGGATTAACAAGGATGGGGCCAACCAGGGGCATGCTTGAGCCTTGCCAGTTTGATATTGTGTGCTAAGCTGAATGGCTAATGTCCATATTTCGTCACACATATTTTGCTCTGGCCAGGACGGAAAAAGATAATTTTCCTTTATGATGTGGCTTGGCCCCCAGGGCTGTGGTGCAGCCAGCCGTATCACTGGGGCCGCCTCAGGGAAAGGGAACCCAGAAGCCTGCCACGCCAGCAAAAGAGTAAGAATTTCTTACCAGTCAGACTTCTGGGCTTTCTCTACCTCCCTCTCTCTGTGCAAACTGGTTGAATGAATGGTAAAAATCACTGTTTATCTCCTGTAAAGTTTTGATTAAAGGGAAAAAAGGATTTGTGAGGGTAATCTTAAGCTGTAGAGAATCTGTTGTACTTTGTGTTATAAATTTGTCTTTCTATATCGTTCTGTCATAAAGAGGGGTACCATAGGATAGAATGTGGGCCTAAGACCCTGTAAGTCCACTGTTGAAGGTAGCACAGCAAACTGGTCAGTTATAAATTTTGCAGCAGGTTCCTGAAAAAAATCTGGATAAAGTTTCGCTCTTATCTTGTTTCAGGTGCTTGGGAGCTTGACCTTGTAACCATGTGGCAGTACTTTATCTTGGTCTCTGCCATCACAATGGCAGCCTGGGATCAGGGTTCAATTCCTGGTTTAGGGAATGAGTCCTTTATTTTCTGTCTGTGTATTTACATGTATTATGTGTGTGATGTCTATATATGAAAGAGCTTTGATTAATTGGTGTAATAATAAGAGCTTAAATCAAATATTTTGTAAGAAAAAAAGTGTAATGCCTTTCAGTTCACATGACTTAAGTAATTTTTGGGAAATAAAAACAATTTTACATGTAAGGTGTACAAAGAAAGTGAAATGTGTTTTGGTAATAAATTATAAGAAGACATGGAAAGGTGAATTATTGTTATTATTTTTTTGCCTAGATTAAAAAGTTAAATTATTGTTTTAAATTAGATAGGATAAAGCTGAAAGTTAAAGCAAGTTGTCAAAAGTTTGTGAAAAATTAATCTTGTAAAAGAAATTCTGTGTGAACATATTGGCTAAAGTTAAAGGGGTATTAATCAATTTTTCTGTAAATTAAACATTGGAATAAAAGCACAACGGGTTTTTCTCTGAGCAATGATCTGCTTTTTAACAAAAATTGTAAAGGATTAATAAACAGTTTATAAAAATCTTACCTTATGGTCATACTGATTAAAATGGAATAGATTGGCCAGGCACGATGGCTCACACCTGTAACCCCAGCACTTTGGGAGGCCGAGGCCAGTGGATCACTTGAGGTCAGGAGTTCAAGATCAGCATGGCCAACAGAGTGAAACCTGTCTCTACTAAAAATACAAACAAATAGCTGGGCGTGGTGGTGTACACCTGTAATCCCAGCTTCTAGGGATGCTGAGGTGGGAGAATTGCTTGAACCTGGGAGGCGGAGGTTGCAGTGAGCTGAAATCATGCCACTGCCCTCCAGCCTGGGTAACAGAGTGAGACTCTGTCTCAAAAAAAAAAAAAAAAAAAAAAAAAAAGAATAGATTTATCTATGAGGTTTTATTAAGAATATTTAACATCAATAGTACACAAATATAAAGGTGAAATTTGGCTTATTTGGTATAAAAGTCATACAGGAAGCACTGTCAAATAGGAAATTGGCTTTCTTTGGGTTATATTTGTATAAATATGTTATTGGTATGTGTTCCAAAATTAGGTGAAATGCCTATCATTCTGATATGACTTAGTGTATGTTATTAATAGTTGTACTTGTTATGTTAAATTATTGTGTGCTCCAGGAGTAACCAAATTTCGTTGTCAATTGTGGCTTTAACTGTGGCTGTCCTAAGACTTTTTGTTATCCACAGACAATTCTTGTCTTGTTTTGGTCCCATTTAAAAGGTGGCTTATAATCAGATATAGGCCTTTAACAAGTGCTCTTGAATGCAAGTTTCTGATTACTTTCGAAGTTGTAACATTAGAATAGAGGAAAAAACTTTCAGGACTCTCATGGAGAGCTAAAATGTTCCTGAATATCAAGCAGAACAGGAGTTAACTGCATGAACCAAACTAATAGAAGACTGAAGTCATCTTTTTTGACTTTGCTTAAAACGTTGCTGATCCTTTGTTTTTTTCAGTCAAGAAAACTTTTCTTTTGAGCTATTTAGAGCTTTTAACAAGTAAAGTATACTGCTATGAACAAAATTTGAAGCATATGTTTCTCTCTACCTGATTTCTCCAGAATTTAGAAACTATTTGTGAGTATTCTTAATTTATGGCAATATAGTTAATTGCATAATTGTAAAGAATTTGTTTTTGTTTGTAACAGGACACAACTGGAGAAACTGGTTATTTTTTTTGACAGGAATGGCATGCTTTCCTTTAAGGAATCAAATTTGAATTGTAGAGTCCATAGAAGACCCTTGGGGGAAACTGGCCTTGTACGTTGTCTCCACAGTCCCTGTAAAGGGTTCCTGACCTGTGGTAAGTAAAGAATGTCACTTTCTCACAGGCCCAGGAGCCCCAAGTTATCTTGGGACCCCCCAAGAGGAGAGGAATTTACCCAACCCATAGGTATTTGAGGATATAAACCCATGGCTGGGCTTGCTTTAAAAAAGGTCTTATCGGCTGGGTGCGGTGGCTCAAGCCTGTAATCCCAGCACTTTGGGAGGCCGAGGCGGGCGGATCATGAGGTCAGGAGATCAAGATCATCCTGGCTAACACGGTGAAACCCCATCTCTACTAAAAAATACAAAAAACTAGCCGGGCGAGGTGGCGAGCGCCTGTGGTCCCAGCTACTTGGGAGGCTGAGGCAGGAGAATGGCATAAACCCAGGAGGCGGAGCTTGCAGTGAGCTGAGATCTGGCCGCTGCACTCCAGCCTGGGTGACTGAGCAAGACTCCGTCTCAAAAAAAAAAAAAAAAAAAAAAAAGGTCTTATCTGAGATTCCTTATGGAACAGAGTTCCAGTAAAGGCAATTTAAAAAACCTATGTGAAAAATAATTATTCTTGCTGTACTTTATACAATAATCCAGCCAAGTATATAGGACTAAGGCTTATGTTTCCAAACAAATCAGTCCTATTATGGTTTGTCTTTAGTAAAAAAAAATGGGAGACTGGAGAGAGAAATTATATTTCAAGAACTATGGTACATTTGTTATTAGATTCTAGTTTCAACAGTTGTTTTTAATTTTTTTCTGCAATTTAGACTAACCCTGCTTATTCCTGTGAACCAACCAGTGATCTCTGACTGCTGCTCAGAATAAATAAAAGCGATGGGTAAATATCTGGATCAGTATTCTAATTCTAGAGACACTGGAATCAACTAGAGACCCCCATATCAGCTTGGTTCCAATAGTTGCCCAGTTAATAAAAAGCCTTCTTAGTTTACTTGGGATAATTTTGTTTATTTAGTTTTACTGTTGTGGAATATATTGCTGTTGTACTCTTTGTGTAGGAATACAGGATAAGTGTACTCAATGTTTTCTTAAGTTGAACACTTACTAATCTTCCAGATATCACCTTGCCAAACTGATGCTTTCTGACTGAGCTCTTCTCTACCCCAAATACAAGAGACCCTAACAGTTAGGCAGGAATATCATCACCCCTATTCAGCCTGAAGAAGTTACAGAAGATGGATCTTTGTCCCTTAACCCTTAGGATTAAGGATTCTCTTATAAAAGGGAGGGGAGAAATGTCAGAGGCATTTGAACCAGAGCAACTTGAATAGGGGCTAGGTAAAATGAGGCTGAGATCTACTGGGCTGCATTCCCAGGTGGTTAGGCATTCTAGGTCACAGAATGAGATGGAGATTGGCACAAGATACAGGTCATAAAAACCTTGCTGATATAATCACTTGCAGTAAAGAAGCCGGCTAAATCCCGCCAAAACCAAGATGGCGACAAGAGTGACCTCTGGTTGTCCTCACTGCTACACTCCCACCAGCACCATGACAGTTTACAAATGCCATGGCAACATCAGGAAGTTACCCTATATGGTCTAAAAAGGGGAGGCATGAATAATCCACCCCTTGTTTAGCATATAATCAAGAAATAGTCATAAAAATGGGCAACCAGCAGCCCTCAGGACTGCTCTATAGAGTAGACATTCTTTTATTCTTTTACTTTCCTAATAAACTTGCTTTCACTTTACTCTATGGACTTGCCTTGAATTCTTACGAGAGATCCAAGAACTCTCCCTTGGGGTCTGGATTGGGACCCCTTTCCAGTAGCAGGATGGCAGAGACAGACACACTGGCGCCACCCTCAAAAGAAGCAGGTAAAATTCAAGGCCAGAGCACACAAATAGCCTCAAGGAAAGTGAGGATGATGTCTCTGGGGGTCTGTTTTCATCACCAAACCCATGTGGCTGGAGATGTCTGATTGGAAGTATGTGTCCCTGATGAGACATGCATATGACCTCTGACTGAGAGGTCCTGGGAAGCAGGAATGTTTCAGAGTCAAATCTGTACATACACCGGGGCAGGTATCGAGTGTGTCAACTCCCCCTCTTCAACCCTGAGTTGATTCTCTACTTCCTGTGGAAGAAGACAGCAATACCCACATGGCACGTACTTACAGATTTTGAGAATGCAATACAGGTGACTGCTCGGTCAAAAAAACCTATTCCAATGACGTGGAGAGTATTCAATGTCACAGAATCCCAGATGCGCACATGTGGGGGCAATTGCTATTTAGAAAAAAAACACAGAGCCATCAACTGTGAGGGGGATACACATGTGTCTTTACCTTGAAGCTACAAGATTGCTTGGACAGTAACTCGGACTTTGTCGAAACAAAAGAGCTTTTTCTGCATTTCAGGAGTCTGCCTTTTTATGTAAATAAAACATTCCCAGGGGCTTCAGGAGGTGGAGGGCCTTGTTGATAATTTAACACTAAGGAGAGGCCTACCGAGTTTTGAAATTTGAATGGCCAATTTTTGAAAATAGTACCATGGGAACTGACACTTTAATTTGTGCATCTAAATGTGTCTGAATTTTAGAAATGAAAAAATGACAAGTAAAATGGAATCTCACATATGGGTTATTCTTTTAAAGTCTGTTTCATTGCTAAAGTTTCACCATGCCTAAGTTCATAAGATGGTCACCACCAAATAATATTAAGAGCTTAACAGACCAGGCGTAGTGGCTCACACCTGTAATCCCAGCACTTTGGGAGGCTGAGGCAGGTGGATCAACTGAGGTCAGGAGTTCGAGACTAGCCTGACCAACACGGTGAAACCCTGTCTCTACAAAATATAAAAAATTAGCCGGGTGTGGTGGTGCATGCCTGTAATCCCAGCTACTTGGGAGGCTGAGGCAGGAGACTCGCTTGAACCCGGGAGGTGGATGTTGCAGTGAGCCAAGATTGCACCACTGCACTCCAGCCTGGGCAACAAGAGTGAAACTCTATCTCAAAAACAAAAACAAAAACAAAAAAAGATAGCTTAACATTCTTGGGCAAAACAGGCATCAATTATGTACAAATAAGATTTAGAATTATTATAATTGGTTTAAAATCCTCTCAACTGTGTTCCTAGGTTATTTATGTTAATTTTCCTCTTCCTTAATAGAAGGAAGCATCATAGAGCAACCAGTAGATTTATCAATAAGAAAAGGTGCTGGCATTGGACCTAGTAGAAACACTAGGCAGGCGTTAGGTGAACCAGGTTCTAGTTCAGTCTAATCTCTAAGTAGCTGGGTGTCTGCAGGCATTCCCTAGGGCTCTCTGGATTTCTCTATGGGTAAACTGAAAGATAGCTATAACATTTTTCTCTGGTTCTAAAGTACCAACTCAATTTCAATACCAGAAACTGAAATATACTTTTAAGCCACTAGAGGGAGAAACAAATGGCTTACTATTCATTTCAAAGAATTTTTCTAAGCCATTTAACATTAAACCAAAAAAGATAGAAAGACCCATTCAATTTAAGTGAATTTATTTATACAATAGTGGTCTGATTTCCATTATTTCTGTTAACTCTTTTCAAGTATAAAATATTAATGGAGGTCAGGCGCAGTGGTTGATGCCAGTAATCCCAGTACTTTGGGAGGTTGAGGTGGGCGGATTGCTTGAGCCCAGGAGTTTGAGACCAGCCTGGGTAATGTGGTGAAATGCTGTCCCTACAAAAAATACAAAAATTAACCGGGTGAGGTAACGTGCGTCTGTACTCCCAGCTACTCAGGAGGCTGAGGTGGGAGGATCACCTGAGCCTGGGGGGCAGAGGTGGCAATGACCCGTGATTGTGCCACTGCATTACAGCCTGGGCGACAGAATGAGACCTTGTCCCAAAAAAAAAAAAAAACAAACCAAACCAAACCAAACCAAACAAAACCGGAAAATAGCATAAGATTAATATTTAAAATCCAATGTTACTAAAATATTTTCTGAAATATGGTAGTATTCATTTTTTCTGGATGAAAACATGTTGATAAAATGTATGTACTTAAAGAAATTAGTTTCAGATAAAATATTATGCAATAACAAGCTATATAAAAGTAGCTATCAAAAAAGCTACAAGCTCCCTCTCTTAACGCCTTAAAATGCAAATTAAAGTCTTGCTGAAGTGCTTGCAAAATTTGTGCTAAAAACCTCCTAGTAGCTTTTGTGACTTGCACACAGACACAAACTCCATGGGTTAAAGTCACGACTGTTAAAGGACATTCACAGGACAGGGCAGAGGGTGGCTGAAATTTGGCAAAATGTTGTATATTCAAATTATTATTTATTATAATTTTAACTCCATTAAACGTTTACCTTCATATTTTTAATGCTTATCATATAAATAAACATTTTAAGAATCTGTGAATTCTTTGTTCAGAACAATGCTATTTAAAAATCTGATGAAATCTCCAGGGATTTTTAAGGTCACAGTAAGTCTTTTTTTTTTTTTTGAGACTTAGTCTCTCTGTCACCCAGGCTGGAGTACAGTGGCATGATCCTGGCTCACTGCAACCTCCGCCTCCTGGGTTCAAGTATTTCTGCTGCTTCAGCCTCCCGAGTAGCTAGGACTATAGGCATGTGCCACCGCACCTGGCTAATTTTTGTATTTTTTGTTTGTTTGTTTGTTTGTTTTGAGACAGAGTCTCGCTCTGTCGCCCAGGCTGGAGCGCAGTGGCGCAATCTCGGCTCACTGCAACCTCTGCTCCCAGGCTCATGCCATTCTTCTGCCTCAGCCTCCCGAGCAGCTGGGTCTACAGGCGCCCACCACCACGCCCAGCTAATTTGCTAATTTTTTTGTATTTTTAGTAGAGATGGGATTTCACCGTGTTAGCCAGGATGGTCTCGATCTCCTGACCTGTGATCCACCCACCTCGGCCTCCCAAAGTGCTGGGATTACAGGCGTGAGCCACTGCATCCTGCCACACAATAAGTCTTCTAATTTACAATAAAAAATTCTAGTGAGGGGTTCAGAAGTTTTCAGATACCATAATTATATCTAAGCAGCCTTACTCAGCAGCACAATGTTTTCTAAAAATTACTTTGTGTGACCAGTTTATTATGAAACAATGAAAAGGTAACGTAACTCACTTTTCCATCCTTCGATGTGCCTGCGACTTGTCCTGTTGCTATCGTGATCCGGTCAGGATGAACTGCTAGGCTAACAAAAGGGTATTTATAAAACATCTACATGTCACAGGTAAGTTTTACTTTTCCCTTGCTCAAATATTATCTAGTCAAAAATTTAAATATAAGAAATATGTAATGCCTAATTTCTTACAGACTCATGACAAATTCTCTGAGCACTACGATGTTAGGAAACAACTAGTGCCTAATTCATTTAATCTTAATTCCCTTATTTCTTCTTTTTTTTTTTTTTTTTTTTTTTTGAGACGGAGTCTGGCTCTGTCGCCCAGGCTGGAGTGCAGTGGCCGGATCTCAGCTCACCGCAAGCTCCGCCTCCCGGGTTTACGCCATTCTCCTACCTCAGCCTCCCGAGTAGCTGGGACTACAGGCGCCGCCACCACGCCCGGCTAGTTTTTTGTATTTTTTTTTAGTAGAGACGGGGTTTCACCGTGTTAGCCAGGATGGTCTCGATCTCCTGACCTCGTGATCCGCCCGTCTCGGCCTCCCAAAGTGCTGGGATTACAGGCTTGAGCCACCGCGCCCGGCCCCCTTATTTCTTCTTAAGAATTTTCAAACTTAAGGAAAAAGCATCCTCTGCTGGGAAAATACCATTTCAACCTCAGAACCACTACATTAGTCTACAATCTTTATTAAAAAGTCACGTTGAGTACGTAAATAGGAAAGATGCCATCTTTCGCCAACAGGATTTTTATCATTGACCAAGGAACCAGGACAAATATATAAATCCATCTCTTCACGCATCCATCCTTCCAAGATACGTAAAATGCCTACCAAAAGCTATAAATGAATTATGGGAAGAGCCGACTCAGCCGCAAACCTGAGGCAACATGTTTTTATGTTTACCAAAAAATAAAGACCCAAATTAGAAGCCTTTAACACATGATGTGTTAAGAAGGCCTCCAAAGAGGTGGTGCTCTTAGTTGAGACAATGCGGTCCATGAAGCTCATGTGTTGGTGAGGCTGGAAAACTAAACATGAGAGGTGTCTCACGGAGCGCAGCAGCGAGCGGACCACAAGGAGACCACACAGAAGAGCTCTCCCAAAGACCGCATTTCCTCAGACCCTCTTCCTTCTCTTTAGTTATGTCCCAATACTGACCGTGTTCTGCTAATGCTCTTTCCACCTGTGCAACGGGAATCACATTTATTTTTATTTTTTTTAGAGACAGAGTTTCACTGTTGCCCAGGATGGTCTGGAACTCCTGGCCTCAAGTGATCCTCCCACCTCGGCCTTCCGAGTAGCAGGAATGACCTGTTTCAGGACTTACCACTTCACGTCATCGTTGTGGCCAGCGTAATGCCTCTGCAGTTGCTCCTCCACATTGTATAACACCACCACAGACGCGATGAAGTAGACGGTCTCTCCCGTTGGAAGCAAGTACAGGTTGTTACGGCAGTCTCGACCCCTGTACCCGTAGCTTTGTGGATGTCAAGACAAATTTTTTTTTCCCTTTAAGAGCTGACAAAACATCAGCTTTATTCAACAGGCACAGGCAATAAAATACCATATAACTATTGCCATCAGCGTCACTAATTTAAATAACATTAAGTTGCAAATATTTGGTGATGAATACATGTGACCCCCAAAAGGCATGCAGTAAAGTTGGAAACAGTCATTGATGTAATATGAATACATATTTTTACAAGGATTTGGTTTTATTTTTAGAAAGCTATTGAGTCAATTATTTTTTTACTGTAATCGAGCTAAATTTTTACTAAAAAATTCCTTTTTTAAACATGGTAAAAGTACTTACAAAGGGTACAAATGACACACACAGGTGCACACAAACATGCATAAAAGGGAAAAAAAAAAAAAAAATCAGGCTTCTCAGATCCTTTGGGATAAGAATCCCTGTTAAAACTTTCGCATTATACTTCCAAACCTTGAAAATTATTTTGAGAACAAAGTATCACTTGAACTTGGATGTAAAAAGTAACCTGGCAAAATGCCAAATAATGGCCCAAAAATGCCATTTATTTAGAGCAAATTTCATTGCTTTACATCTTCTAAAATATGAACAGGAAGTAGGCTGAATAAATGTTTTGAATAATGTTTTCCAGATGTGATACAACCGTTTAATAAACCACTATTGACTTAAAGACAAGCTGAAGCACTTCAATTTTATGTATCAAAATAGATTCCAAAACAGGTGCAGGTAAATGCCTATGACATTTGACTTTGAAAAAAAAAAAAGTATTTTGGGGGAGAAATTTAGGTACAAGTGGTAATTTTTAAAAATTTCTAAAGAATATGATTCCATAATCTCAAATAGTAATTATTCTAAATGAAGTCACAACAGCTTCAATTTAAACCAACATCTTATAATTTGTGTTCCACGCTTCGCATTAAACAGGTACTCAATAAATATTTGAGGGTGAAAAAAAAATTTTTTTTTGCCTTAAAATCTGCATAGACTGAAAGGTGGTCTCTGCAGGCTTCCTCTAAAGTAATAAGAACACGGAAATAAATGGAAAAATAATCAACATTTAATTCACCTTTTTCACAGTTTCTATTTTCTTATCTTTCAGTTGTTTTTTCCCCTGGAAGCTTACTTTTCCAAACCTCATGCAATGAAGCTGCCAGCACCTCTGTTTAAAGAACGTTAGTTATATGGTGATTTAGACTTTTGTGGCATATATTTTTGGGGAGCCTTTTTGATTGATATGAATATATGTATTTTTGCGACAGGGACTTGTCATGTTACCCAGGTTGGACTGGAACTCCTGGATCCTTCCACCTAAGCCTCTTATACAGCTGGGACTAAAGGGGTGCATCACTGTAGCTAGCTTTTTCTTTCTTTTTTTTTTTTTTTTGAGATGGAGTCTCACTCCATTGCCCAGGCTGGAGTGCAATTGCGCCATCTTGGTTCACTGCAAGCTCCGCCTCCCGGGTTCATGTCATTCTCCTGCCTCAGCCACCCGAGTAGCTGGGACTACAGGCACCCATCACTATGCCCAACTAATGTTTTGTATTTTTAGTAGTAGGATGATATCTACATGGCATGTCAATTTCATTTACGTCATTCACTTGACTCCCTTCATTCAGTACTTTGGTATTCATATTTTTCTATCATCCCTTTAGTCAAGGTCACACTTGAAGTTAGGCCACACTTGGTTTAAAGGGAGAATGCTAGTCCTAGTTTCAGGGTACCTCTCTTTCCTTGGGTTTAAAAACTTTTTTGCCAATGTGGTTTAGTTTCAATTTTGGATACTCCCATTTCCTCAATCATAAGGACAATATTTTCTTGCATTGTCACTGTTGTTTCCTTATAAATATAGTGCCTAGTTTTCCATCTGTCCCCGAAAACTTGACTAAATATATGATAGCTCCTGTTAAAAATAATTGGCTTTTGACCGGGCATGGTGACTCATGCCTATAATCCCAGTACTTGGGGAAGCTGAGACGAGCAGATTGTTTGAGTCCAGGAGATCAAGGACAGCTTGGGCAACACAGGGAGACTCTCTCTCTTAAAAAAAAAAAAAAAATCAGTTCTCATTAGAATCTAAAATTTTACCCATTCTTGATTATTTTCACTGTTTGCTTCTTTATATATTTCTAACTACTATTGTCATTCTTTCGGAAAGAATAAAATTAGCACGAGCAACTAGTGATTCATTTTCTCCTGACAAAGAAAAAATCACTCATACAATCATATAACATCTTCATGTTTTCTTTTCAGGAAAATAATGAATATGTATTTGAGCCAGAACCACAGCTATTTCATTCAGGAATGGTAAGTTGGTTCTCCTGATAATAAGCAGCTCTTATGAAGCTCCTACTTTGTTAGAACTCTGTAGGTCTCTAACATATGGTCAATTTTGTTACATTAAGTTTTCAAAAGTAACAGTAAAACTTTTTTCTTTCTTTCTTTTTTTTTTTTTGAGACGGAGTCTTGCTTTGTTGCCCAGACTGGAGTGCAGTGGCGCCATCTTGGCTCACTGCAAGTTCCACCTCCCGGGTTCACACCATTCTCCTGCCTCAGCCTCCCGAGTAGCTGGGACTACAGGCGCCCGCCACTACGCCTGGCTAATTTTTGTGTTTTTAGTAGAGACGGGGTTTCACCTTGTTAGCCAGGATGGTCTCGAACTCCTGACCTCGTGATCCGCCTGCCTTGGCCTCCCAAAGTGCTGGGATTACAGGCGTGAGCCACCGCGCCTGGCCTAAAACATTTTGTTTTTTAAAAGCTTAAGAGGACTTAAGTTTTATGAATTTCTACAGTTAACATCAAGCATTGATTGACTGATAACTTCACGGGAGACGTAATCAGTGAATAAAGGATACACCCATTCCAGTTTGAGTCTCTTGGTTGGAAGTTCTACTTTTGCTTCCAAGCTGTAAGAATCCACTTGATCTTTGGGCATGTACATGGTAACAGGGCGTCCACGAAGAAACATTTTTACATAGCCTTCTTCTACAAAAAGAACAAAGACGTCAGTAAGATACCTCAGTGCCCAGCATACCTGAAAACAAATGCTTTATCCTCTCTAGCCTTTCAGCGTAAAAGAGAAACTTTTACCCTTCTGTCATTTCTAATTGATATCCTAGGGAAAAAAGTAACATATAAGTAAACAGTTTGAAACACAAGTTTGCATCTTGTTTGCTTTTGATATTCTGTTTACTTAAGTACATGAGATACCTATGAAATTGTAAAAGGCAGGAAGGAACTTGGTTCCAACAATGATTTTCCATGAGATTTTACTGCTTACACTTTCTTTTATCATCAGGAAGGGAAAAAATACCACCCCCAAACTTCCACTAACACAAGAAATCCACTTAAAGTTTTTGAGTTCAGTGTATACACAATCTCAATATCCAAATTCACAAATATTTTTCAATATTTAAATGGATTTGTTATATTGCAATGTAAAAATATATCTTTATGGGTTTTTTTTTCTTTTTTTTTTTTTGAGACGGAGTCTCACTCTGTCGCCCAGGCTGGAGTGCAGTGGCGCGATATCGGCTCACTGCAAGCTCCGCCTCCCGGGTTCACGCCATTCTCCTGCCTCAGCCTCCCAAGTAGCTGGGACTACAGACACCCACCACTGCACACGGCTAATTTTTTTGTATTTTTAGTAGAGACGGGGTTTCACCATGGTCTCGATCTCCTGACCTTGTGATCCGCCCACCTCGGCCTCCCAAAGTGGTGGGATTACAGGCGTGAGCCACCACGCCCGGCCTATGTATCTTTTAATTGAGCAATTCTTTCAAGTGTAAAGAACACAAAATCAGCAGAAGTGCATGCTAGGATGCAATGCAAAAAGGAAAATGCTCATAGAAAATCTAGAAATGGAAAACAAAGGAACAAAAGACCCATTAGAGAAATCTGGATGAAAAACTCTCTAGAACAAACATTTCTATAATAAAATAACTTTTAATATTTCAATAAATTATAGGGAAAAGTAAGTATCAATAATATATCGACACAGGGTAACTCCTAGACCTTAAAAAGAACATCTTGGGGTGTTCTGACTGGAGTTCTCACGATATGATAAGGGCAAAGTAAATGTCTTGTCAGCTCTGCTCCTGGTGAATTCCACTCAGATTCAGAACTCGCTGAATTCTGAAATTTCACTGCAGATTAAAGGACGTGGTCTTAATTGGGTATTTAAATTGGGCAGTTGGAACCAGGGATACCTGTATACAACTCAACAGAAAAAGCATCCCCAGGGAGGAAATAGGCGAGGAACAGTTAGGAAATAATTATAGTACAAATTAGTTTTATAAGTCTTATTCTTAAGGATTTTCAAACAATGCCACATGCAATATTACTTAAAACTCAAGAGGGCACCCCAGTTTCATGTTATTGTGTGCATGCGCTTCAGGTCTTAAATGCATGCATGTGACACACTCTTCACACTGCATATTAAGACTGACGTTGAGTGAGAGTCATGAACGCGATCATCCCTGCCTATGTGTGCCAGCCACTGCGTCCCATGGATCCTCCCCTTACAGTATCTCCCACGCTGGTGCCAATTTCCCCAGGTGCACTGGGGCCCCATCACCACAGGCTCTCTTATGGCTCTCCTGGGTCAGTTTACACACTGCTGCCAAACCCACCAAGGCCCAACCAGGTTTTATGGAGCTCTTCCTCCATGTACATTTCTTCACCTGCTCTCTTCCTTGCTGGATCCAGCAGGTCTAAATGCCCTCCTGGGCTCTCACTGCACAGGACCTCATCTGCCACAGACACCCACAGGGATTCTCCTCTGGGGCCAGGCGTGTCTCTTTGCACCCCCCTATACCCTGTTCTGTCTGTGCCACCGCTCAGGCTGTCCTCCTCTGATGCTTCTTCCCTTCCTTAACCCTCACCCAAATATAAGCTCATCAGGGGCTGTGTGGCTACCACAACCAAAGAATCTAAAAGCACCCAAAAGATTGACATTCTTGAAAAGAGGGGCAGGAGACTGGAGTTGACAGCTAAATGAAAAGGGATTCTAGCAACTCTCTTTGTAAGAGAATCAATCCTGCCAGAAAGCTCGCAGAATGTAGGTTAGGAATAAAGACAATATAATGCTATTTCCACAACACATAAAAAAGCACACCATGGATGTATATAACCAATGTCTATGAAATATCCACCTGAGTCGCTCACAGGCATGTGATGATTAAGAATCCTTAGGACTGAGCTTACTTACTGCACAATTTTAACTTACTGAACTAGGCAAGAAAAGCACTGAAGTTGGCCTTGGCACTGTTTTGTACTGGTGATTCAGACAGGCTACATCTAAAACCAAAATGCAGCCAGGGAAAGCAGTGTTCGTTCCAGGCAGGTTAGGATAACAGCACACACGCCACCAAACCCAAAGGCGCTAGTGGGAAGAGGCCAGCAGCAGTGCATGGTACCAAGTCAAACAGTGGGACATCCAGGGGTGGCCCTATAGCTCTCTTAAGGTTTATATAGATGAAAAAAAATTCCTGCAATCAGCCAATAATCAGTTGGGATCCAAATTACAGCCACTTATTAAAGCCCATCCAAGTAAATGCTCAGGGATGCGTTTAACTTAAAATGAATCGAAGGGGTTTGCAACACAAAAACATTTTCATACAAGGAGAGCATCTGTTTGCCTGTATGAAAAAGGTTTCTGTAGCCTGGGTAACAGCTTTGCTCAGAGAGCTATGAGGTTTCAGAAATGCTGCCTACCTTTGCAGTGTGTCACCCGGCGTTTCCCTTGTGATTTCGGAGACAGAGACAGAAGGGCTAGACAAAGAGACGGTGGAGTACTGCAAGTGTGGCTGGCCTGCCTGCCCAGAGCCCGGAGCCCTCACTAGCCCACAGGCCAACACCTGACCTGCCCCCCAATCTTAAAATCTGGACACGGTTCAGGGATCCTGACAAGGGCGCTCACGATGTGACCCTGCGAGCTTACAGCAATTACATTTTCAGTGAGTAGTTTCATGCTTCCTGAAAATGAAATGAACACTAAAGCACATGCTGATAAATACAAAACTTTGACTTTTATGTTTTAATTCTGAACTTAGGAAAAAAACTAGAACAATTAAAATTAAATGAATGTATTTAATCAATTACGTACTTGTCCTTTTTTTTTTTTTGCATTTTAAATGCATTTCTAAATAAGGTTAAGATGCTATACAACAGCATCTACCTTATTACAAAAGGTGTTAAAAAAGATATATGGAAAGATATACATGAACTATTAGTTTGCAGTTTAGGAGATCATAGGCAGAAAAAGAAAAGCTACTTTTAGACAGTTATGTAACTTGATGCATAAGAAACTTTCCCCTAAGAGAAATGCAAATGTTGATAACAGAATCCAGTTAGTAAGGAAGGAATAACCAAGGCAACAGACACCTTTTAATCTAGAAATTCCATCATGGCATAGGTGGTGGCATTCCACTCTCCTCTTATTGGCATGTCTTACATTGGTTTCGGAGAGGGTAGGTGAAGGGTTTGCTCTTTACGACTGTTTAAAGGCAGTCTCACTGTCACTAGCTGAGCCATTCAACCGCCACGTACAAAGCTGACAGCACCCATCTGATCTGCACAAACCAAAGCTCCTGTGTGTTCCAAGGCTGGCCCCTGAAGCTGGCTACTTCTTTTCTGTCCCTTGAGTTCTGAGGAAACGAGTGAGGGGTTCCCATACAAAAATTAAATCGGACTTACCTGCACTGAATACAGGCTCCTTGGGTTTGCTGTGAAAATAAACCAAAAACAGTTTTTAAAGGGCACTGTGGGTGTTTAATCTCATTCGCTTCAGACCCCACAGCCACGGCTGCAGTAGTCTGCCACACAAATGCTGCATAAGTTAGACATGTTAATAAGAAAAACGCAACCAATTTCACTGCAAAAAGGAACACACATAAACAATCATAAACAATCTCATAGGTGCAAGAGACTGCACGCCTAACTTTATCACCAAACTTGGGCTTTTTATGAGTGCAAATAAGTGTTTCGGGGAGGAAAAAATGTGGCTAATCAAGATGGGAATGACCCTGTCTAAATGTGTAAAAAGGGTTGTTTTTATTCCCCACACTTTTCTGACAGATTATTTAAAGAACTTATTTAAAACTAGCACATTCCTGACAAAAAATCTTTTGATGAGGCCTTTTAGAGCTCACCTCCTAAGCGGATTGCTGTTCTAGGAAGACAAGTAGGTGAGCATAAGGTAGAAAGAGGAGAGGGGAACACCAGGGTGTGGTGCCCTCCAACTCAGCCATCTCTCGGGAGAGGTGGGGACACCCCTGCTGACTTCAGTCACCCTGGGCACCCACCATGAGCAGGTGAGACCACCCATGGCAGTGCTTGGGAAACCAAACTCAGGAATCATTCAAGGACAGACAGCTGCAGACAGACTAGACATCCCTAGGAGCAAGCACCCCACAGGAGAAACTTCCACGAGCGGTCCCTGGGGGCAGAAGGAGAGGCGGCCACCACTGCAGACCCACTACTTCCTGCCGGGGCACTCCTCCCATGACACCATCTTTGGGGAGATGGCACCATCTCCATTCCAGACAGGGACAGGGAGACCCAGGGAGCTCAGGGAGGGGGGTGACCCCTTGATCTCAACTTCGACTCCAAAGTTCATGCTTCGCACCACTTAGCTTCCCTGACTTCCACCTGCTTTAAGATACAGAGGGAGACACAGGAAGTAAACGGACGTCAAGGGGCGCACTGCTTTTACCATAGTGCCTTAAACACTGCTAGGAGCACATATGCATTTTGTGTGTGTGTGTGTGTGTGTCTGTGTGTGTGTATTTAAAACAAAAACTTGAGCAGATACATTCCTAATATTACTCCTCAATTTTTGACTTGAAACACAATGAAAAACACCAGGAATAAAAACTATCCTTAATCTCATGATGTAGTAAATAATGTTGTATATTAATATTCTTGATTTCCAGACAATTTCATGTAGCACATGGAGTGGGGCGGGGGAGCCTACTACTTTCCTGATGCTTTAGAAGTGGTTTACTTTGTTCAAAGGTGTTTTAAGTAGTTTTATAAGCTATAGGCTTAGCTTCCTACACTCTAAACTATGGTCATTGAAAATACTACTCTAAAAGCATGGCGCAGCCTTTGAACCTAAAAGCCTGGGTCTTACACTGACCTACAAGGCCCTATCCAATCTCCACCTAACCCCTGTATTCTTCGGAGCTCATCTCCCTTCACTATATTCCCTGCTGTTCTGGGAACCTGGTCCAGCAGGCTCCGTGTCAGGTGCTGGCTCACGGTCCCTCCTGGACCATCCTCCCCGAAGTCAGCCACTCTCAGGCCACCGCTTTAGCCGTGTGTATGGCTTCACGTTCCCTGCTCCATACTGAAACTCTCCTCGGGCCCTGCTCGCCGCACCCCCCGCCCCTCCTGCTTTATTTTTCTCTACAGCACTTATTTGCCCCCTGCCTTCATTTTGTTTCTCCCACCAGCAGGCAATGCCACAGGGGCAGGCATCTTTCTGTTCATGACTGTATTCCCAGGGCCTTGGACAGCAGACAGCGGCTGCCCTGGCGTGAGGCCTGGAGCTCCTGTGGAATTCCTCTTGGTTCTCCATCTTCAGTCTTCAGCAGGCCCCTAGGATCTGTGCCTGGTGGGTGGTGGTGGGGTCTGCTCTCAGCAATCCTGCCTCTCCCTGGGGCACAGACAGCTGCTGCCTGGAACCTGGTTTGGGGCTTGGTGTGCAGATGGAGTTTCTCTCCGTCCTCCAGGTCCCCAGACCTCACTAAACACCCATATCTCAAAGGGCTCTCTCTCAGCTTTCCTCATCTTTCCTTCCGGGGTGGCCAGCTGCTGCCTGGCCCTTAGTTCAAGGCCCTGAGTGAGGGGAGAACGTCTCTTGGCTTTCCTCTTGGCATGCCTCTGCCTCAGTTGGTCTCTCTCAGCCTCCTGTCCGGCTTCCAGTCCACCATGCACACTCACTGAGGTCCGGGGAAAAGCGGAGTGCGTGTGAGCGGGGGAAGGTTCCCGTGTGCCAGAGCCCCTGAGGACTCTGAACTCTCCTGCCAGTCCACACTCAGCCTTTCCCAATTCTACAGCTCCAGGTGTTTTCCTACTCCCATCTAAGAGGGCTCCCTTTTCTTCCCGCCGCTCTGCCAAAGACAAAAGCAGCCATGGGGCCTGTCCCTCCTCAGAGGGGATTGCCACTTTTCAATAACATTTCAGTTCATTATACCACTTTCTGTCCTCGGCTCCATGGTGGGCTTACACTAGCTATGATACTGTAGATACCTGAATTGTTCTCATTTTTAGGGTGGGAGTGACATTCTTGTCATTTTCTGTGTGCTAAGCAGAAGCAGAAGAAATCTTAACTCCAAATTTCACATATATTATTAGATTTACAGGCAGAAGGAGGTGAGAACAGAAAGAAAGCTAAGACAAAAGACTACGAGGCAAATCTAATTACAGAAACATAATCAAAGGGAAGCCAGGTATGGAATCAAAAGATAGGAAAACTATTTTTTTTATCATGACTTTGATCACAAAAGTAGAATGATGCAAAAGCTATGAACACAGAAATGAGAAATTCAGAACTTGCCCTAGAGACAGAAAAAAGCAATTATGAACTATGTTCTTCCTACAAAGAGAAAATCTGCAGGGGAATCTGAACTCTCCATACAGGGAAGCCCATGGACCTTTGACACTGAAGAACTGTAAGAGGAAGAACGAAAGATTTCTATTAACAGATTAGGTAGCAGAAATGTTAACAACTAAGGTCACTGAGAGAGGTATCAGGTGGTACTAAAATGCTTACATTTCTTTAAATCATGCTCTAAACAATGTATCACTTTGTGGTACGCTGTATTTAGAAAATATACTACTGCTATGTTTTATTATTTTAGAAAGTTGAGTTTTTGTTGAAAAAACCTAGCATATTTGCTTTAGAACCCATTACTCCTGCCAATGCACCACTACCTGTCCTAAAAGGCAAGCCTGGGAGGAGGTAATTTCACTCATGCATGCAAATCTCAGAATATAAACCCATAAAACAATGATGAATCTTCTGAACAACTGATAGAAAGGCAAACCCACAGATGTGCAGTGATAACCAGAAGAGAACATGAAAGCCACTGTGGCCTCTCAACAAAGTCTGTTGACGGGAGTCATGTGCAGAAAGTGCATTTTCTAGAATGCACAGCCACTCGAATTGAGAGTGCGTCCTTCAGACTCAGCACTATTTGAAACCCGCCTGGGCGGTGAATTCACTTGGAGTGGGAGATGATCGCTTCTCAAGGTGTTATGTAATTCATCTCTGATTCCCCATTTCTTGATGTGAGCTCGATGGAAAATATTAAGCGGGTGACTTAACATCCCCTCAACAGCTGGGCTGTGGCTCCATGGTGGGGGGTGTGTGTCGGTGGGGGGTGTGTGTCGGTGGGGGGTGTGTGTCGGTGGGGGAGAATGCCCAGGCCTGTCCTAGGAAGGGTGAAGGAGCACCAGCTGCAGAATGAGGCTTCATTCATCCCTTGCCCAGTGTGGAGTCAATCAAGATGTCCTGCACCTGCCTCTGAAGCCAATGACAGAACTCAGCCTGGAGGAGAGAAAGGATTTCCCCTCTGGTGAACAAACTCTCAGCGCTCAGCTATTCTGGTGTTAAGTTGTGGCCAATGTCTCCGAGACGAACTCCAGTGCAGTTCTTACTGCTTATAAGGAGATTTGTTGAAAGAGCTTGGCTGTATGCTCCCTTGAGCTGCATGGTTCAAGAGCTGATGTAAGATATAAGCAGTCATGGGGACTCACGGAGAATGAGGTACACTTGAATCTTCACCAGACCAGCAGCTGTATGGGGAGATGGCAGGAGAACACTAGACATCTGCCCCAAGGAAAAACTCCCACCCTGAGCTGGGAGGCTCACACCAAGACAGCAGTGCAGTCAACACCGCAGAGACAGCTGCGAACACATATGTCAAAATTCAAATCCCTGAATGTGCTCACTACGGACTTGGGGCACAGGGATGGGCTGAGTGGTTGGTTTTTACTCATCTGATAAAGCTCCTATTTGCTGCACCGTAGACTGGTATTTACAAGGAGAGTCCAGTGGACAACGTCTCCAGGCTGCAACTCAACAGATATTCACTGTGCCTCTCCTCTGTGGGCAACTGCTCTTAGCTCTTTCATCTACATTAACTAACCTAACCCCATGTTCCTGAAAGGGGGCTCTGAGGTCAGATCCTGCAGGTCTTTTGACACGTGGTGACATGTGTAAAAGTCCTGGGCAAGTACGATCAGAGTGGAACTAATAGGAGCCACATGCTGTTTGAGCAGAGATACTTGCTTTTGAAAATGATTAATAAGACTTGATAGAGAAAGAATCCATTCCAAAGTTAAACATGCAATTTCTCTAAAATTTATTCATCCAGAACAACTTTGGCTCTTGGAATAACATGACTTCTTTTTATTTTTTGAGATAGGGTCTGGCTCTGTCACACAGGCTAGAGTGCAGTGGTGTGATCTCGGCTCACTGCAACCTCTGCCTCCTGGACCCAAGCCATCCTCTCACCTCAGCCTCCCAAGTATCTGGGACTACAGGCATATGCCACCAAACCGGGCCAATGTTTAGATTTTTTTTGTAGAGACAGGGTTCCACCATGTTGTCCAGGCTGGTGTCAAACTTCCGGGCTCAAATGATCTGCCTGCCTTGGCCTCCCAAAGTGCTGGGATTCCAGGTGTGAGACACTGGGCTCAGCCACATGATTGTTTT